GGTTGGGGAGGGGTGTGGGTGTGGGTGTGGGTGTGGGGGCGATTTGGGTTGTGTTGTCACACAGAAAAAGCGGGGCGCGCAGCAGGCTCCTCCATGCACTTGTATGCAAAGCCCGCCCTCGCCACTCAGCTCGCGAGCGCCTCTGCGGCAGCATTCACCCCTTGGTGCGGGGGGCCCAGGGGATATGGGGGGGGGCAGGGGCCGCACTCACCTGCACTCTGGGGAGAGCTTGGACACGCCGGGCGCGTTGTGGGGGTTCTCCTGCCAGCTGGTGCGGACCTGCTGGATCCAGATGCTGTACAGGCCTGGGGTTTAGGGTTGACGGTTTGGGGATAGAGGTTTGATGGACCATCGGTGCCGTGCGGGGACGGTTCGGCGGCCGCTGCGGCGCGGCGGGCTGGGCACAGCCTTACACGCGCTGCAGCGTTGGCGCGCGGGCGGTGGCCAGGCAGCGGCAGTCGGCCCCAATCAAAACTCGGTCAAACCTCGGTCAACCCCTCACCCGCGGTGTTGACGTAGTTCTCGTCCTCCATCTCGAAGGGGAACATTCCCAGCAGCAGCACGAAGAGCAGCACGCCGCTCGCCCACACGTCCACCTGCGGGCGGCAGACGGGCGGGTGCACAGGGAGGCGTCGGCTGGGAGTGGAGGGGCCCGGGGGGTGTGATGCGCGTGGAGCTCAGCCCGCCTTTGATGTTTATGACTTGACGCGACCAGGTGCAAAGGGGGGATTTCCCAGCTGAGGGCTCCGCCAAAATCCTCTGGGCTGAGTCAGCGTCATCGTGAGCTGGCGGTGAGCCCAAATCCGCTGACATGGCCCTGGTCATGCACGCCACACACTCACACTTGCGTGCAAAAACGCATGCAGACACGCAGACACGACAACACACGCACACACACACACACACACTCAGATACCCCGTCACACGCCAAACCCTTACACACATCCACCTTTTTGCCATCGTAGCCCGAGCGACCGCTGATGAGCTCCGGCCCCATGTACTCGGGCCTGTGCGTGTGTGCATTGGTGTGCGCGTGCACGTACATGTGTTTGCGCGTTTGCGTGAGCTGTTTCGCTCACTTGCGCGCGCGCGCACACACAACACACACACATTGCTGCCTCAAACAATGATTCTCGCATGGCTGACACCAAGCAGACCCATGCAAGAGCAGTGAGTGCAGGACCTGGGGGCCCCAGCATGACTCACGTCCCGATGCGCATGGTGTCCATGTTGCTGTTGGTCGCCCACCCCTTGGCAAACCCAAACTGCTCCGAGGGGGAGGGGGGCGAGGAGAAGGGTGCGCACGCATGGGGGGCAGTGAGGCAGCCGCCAGATGAGGCGCAGCTAGGGCTGCGGGGCCCGCGCACGCGGCAGCGCTTAGCTGCAGGTCCGTTGCAGGTGCTCGTCGCGCGACGCGGCCAGAGGAACCGGGGCACGCCTCGCGGCCCGCCTCTAGTCCGCCTGCCAGCGAAGCTCGCCGCCCGCACCCAACGCCGACGCCCTAGCTTCGGCGCACGGCCAACTCCCTCCCTCCCTCCCTCCCCACCCCAACCCCG